TATATCGTCCGTGCAGAACGTGTAACATGTATATACTTATACATGTGTAGACACACACACACACGCACACACACACACACATATATATATATATATACACACACACAGAGATACATACCTATATATCTCATACCGACACAATATAGGTACGTAGTATGAAAACTGGATCCAGTAAACAAGTATATTAGCACATACAATGGCAACATACATATGTATGCATGTATGTATACAAATAATACGAAACAAAACTACAACCCAACCGACTGCCACATAAAATAGTACTAGCACACTTAAAAAATTATCTGTCGTGAATTAAAAACGAGGGAAACATAATACACTAAAGGACGATACGCGGTAGCCTATTGAGTGATAAAACGATGTTAGAAATATCATATACCATAATCGATATCGCAATGTAATACAACATGGAGAAACGCAGCAAAACATAGCACGTGCAATGTGCGCTCCGTATTTTGATTTGCAGGTGCAGAAAGCAGGCGGGTGTGTCATAAACGCAGCCTTCAAAACGAAGACTGCATTTGTCACACAAACAAGCTTCGCAAACTGCTCCAGCCGAGCCGGGCCGACCGGCAACCTCTCCTATGACCTCCAGACCCCGCCCGGCGATTTTGTGACGTACGGAGTCCGTGCGTGTCACAAGACATAGCTCCTGTCACAAAACATACGTAGTTCCTGTGTCACAAAACATAGCTCCTGTGTCACAAAACATAGCTCCGGTGTCACAAAACATAGCTCCAGTGTCGCAAATTATAGCTCCTGTGTCAGACAACATCATAGCTCCTGTGTCCGAAGCTATTCAAATTTAAATTTTCAAGCTGATTTTTGATTTGTCAGTTTGTGTGGGTGGAGGCCTGAGGGGACAAGGCGATTGAAAATTGAAAATAATTGAGGTGCGGCATGGACATTTAGGACCCATTGCTTGCGTGGGGACCCTAAGCCCTATCCCTAAAGGGTTTAGGGGTAGGGTTCAGTCTAGGGTTTAGGTTTAGGGTTAGGGTTTAGTTTACGGTGCAAGGTCGACTTTGGAGTTTCGTGGGCGCTGGCCGACACCTCAGTCCGTGCTGAAAAAAGGTCTACTTTCGGGTTTGGGGTCAGGGCTTAGTTTATTGTTCAGGGTTAGGGTTTAGTTTAGGGTTAGGGTTTAGGGTTAGGGTTTAGTTCAGGGTTAGGGTTTAGTTTAAAATTAAGTAGGGCTGGGGTTTAGTTTACGGTTTAAGGTTTAGTTTAGGGTTAGGGTTAGGGTTTAGTTTTGGTTTAGGGTTTAGGGTTAGAGTTTAGGGTTGAGGGTTTGGGTGCGTCCCGGCGCCGGGTCCTGGGTTTGGGGTTAGGGTTTAGTTTAGGGTTAGGGTTAGGGATGAGTTTACGGTTGAAGGTCTAGTTTAGGGTTTAGGGTTAGGGATTAGGGTTGGGGTTTAGTTTAGGGTTTAGGGTTCAGCAGCTCCGGATCGAGTAGTTTCTAGTCAAGCTAGCGGTTTTGGATTTAGAAAACAACCCACCCGCCCAAAATCCCATAACATTCAGAAAATACAATTACAATGTTTATCATTTTTCTCCAGGTTACAATGTTTTAAACCCTAAACCAAATCACAGCAGAAACCCTATGGCCGAAACCCTAACCCTATAGCAGAAAAGTCAGAAACCCAATGGCCGACAATTTAAGGCAGAAACCCTATGGCCGAAACCCTAAGGCGGAAACCCTATAGCCGAAACCCTACGGCAGAAACCCTGCGGCAGAAACCGTATGACCGAAACCCTGAGGCAGAAACCCTATGGCCGAAACCTTGACGCAGAAACCCTATGGCCGAAACCCTAAGGCAGACAGCGAGCCTTGCCGACGAAGATTTGGGCTTTGCCGACGAAGACTTGGGCCTTGCCGACGAGCCTTGCCGACGAAGATTTGGGCCTTGCCGGCCTTGCCGACGAAGATTTGGGCCTTAACAGCCGACGAAGATTTTGGCTTTGCCGACGAAGATTTGGGCCTTGCCGACGAAGACCACTAAGGTTTAGGGTTCATATGGTAGAGAGGCTGAGGGTTAGGGTTTAGTTAACAACAACAACACCAGCAACAACAGCAACAACACAAGCACGACAATGACGATATCAACATCAACAACATCTACCACTTTCATACAACGACAACTACAACCGCAACGCGCAACAACAAGAACTGCTACAACTTCAACAGCAACAACAACATCATCAACCCCAACAGCACCAACACGACACCACCACCACCACCACCACCACCACCACCACCACCACCACCACCACCACCACCACCACCACCACCACCACCACCACCACCACCACCACCACCACCCACCACCACCACCACCACCACCACCACCACCACCACCACCACCACCACCACCACCACCACCACCACCACCACCACCACCACCACCACCACCACCACCACCACCACCACCACCACCACCACCACCACCACCACCACCACCACCACCACCACCACCACCACCACGCAGAAACAACACCAACACAAACACAACAAGAACAACCACAACAACAACAACAACTACAACAAGTACAACGACAACGACAACGAGGAGTTTATTCAACTACATTACGTTTTCGATTTCAACGACAACTATAACTACAATGACAACGACAACAACAACATCAGCAAGTGTAAATGACAGACGTCAACGGGCGGTGGGCGCCACACCACAGTAGGAGACAGACGCAGCCAGCATCTGTGCGGAAAATGAGACGCGGGGCCCAAAAATCAAATCGCGAAAATTGCGCACGGCACCACAGCGGGGCGACACATGCAGCCAGCATCTTGTGTACATAACAGGACGTGGGAGCCCCCCCAAAAAAGGACCAAACAAAAAAGAAAGAACCGAAATAAAACTCCACCCTTAAATAAGCAGCCACACACGAGCAGCAAAGTCGCGCATAAGCGGACACCAAGCACACTTGGTCTTGAAATCTTGGATGCAACCGCGGTGAAGCCATCCACCGATGAGTCGCCGCCGTACTGCGTTTCCGCCCTTTGGCCACACAGCCTGGCACTTCTCGGGTGCAGGGCGAAGCTACAACAGGATGCCCCACAGGTTGCGTGGACTTGAGCCAAAATGGCTTGAGCCAGAACGGCTACGGCTACAGGTGTTCACATTAGACTGGGATGGCGGTTGGTCACACGTTCCAGACGCACCTGCTCATCAAGTGACGGTAGTGGAGCATGGCGGTGGATCTGACATTTCCGAAACCGGACCCCCGGTCGGCGGTGGCTTCACTTAGCACGGAGCCCTAACTCGGCAAATGCCGATTGATCACATTTCTCAACTTGTTAACTCCATCTCCTCAGCAGACGCGGCATTTCATCACATTTCCTCTCAGGCCATGGTGGTTAACTTTAAATGAAACCGACCTCGATTTAAACCGGCCTTGCCAACTCGCCTTGGCGGTTGATGACGTTCATAAACCCTGTTTCCTCATCAGACGATGATGGCTTATCACGTTTCTTACCGCACAGTCCGCAAGTCGTCGTGGTCGTCGGTCGCTGTCATGCTGCTGGCCTGTTGTTGGTTTTGGGTCGTGCGTATGTTTCGCAGTCGTCGTGTCTGTGTAGTTGCTGTCCTCGTGGTTGTTGTAACTCAACCGTCCGTTTCAAGGCTTGCAACATGATCCCTTTTCTGGTTTCCCAGTCCGCTGTGGTCTGAGCTCGGCTCGCCTGCGATCCGAAACACCGAGCACGCGATACCAATCTAGAACCCCGAAACTCTGGCCACCCTTGAGTCCTTGAGCTGTTCTCCTTAGTGTTGTGCTTGCATAGAAGGCTCGAGTCGCCTCCCAGGCGAGGAAGATCGTTTGCCCCGGAGACCTTTTGAGGCTTCGCTTCTTCGAGTGGCGAAAGCCCCGGCCTCCCCTCTCCTCAGAACTCACCACGCGGCGCTTGCTTCGGTGCGCTCTATGTGTATTATATATACTTGTATATATATATATAGAGAGAGAGAGAGAGACAGCGCGTTTTCTACAACTACGGAGAATACATTCTGAATCCATAACTCGCTACAAGCACTAAACACTGAGGCCTGTAGTGTTTTACTTTCTGTATATATATATATATATATATATATATTGCCTACGTTTGTGCTTGCCTCGGTCGGCCTCCTGTGTCCTGAGTTGTTGTTCGCTCCTTTGTGTTCAGCCTCATTCGGTCGGACTCCTGTGTCACTGTTTTTGTTTGCTCCTTCGCGCTCGGGTTCGTGCACTAGGACTCGGTTTGCTCCTTGGTGCTCTGTCTCATGCGGTCGGACTCCTGTGTCCCTAGTTGTTGTTTGCTCTGTTTCCTCTGTTCTTCCGTGTGTCCGGGTTGTTGTTTGCTTGTTTGTGCTCTGTCTCGTGCGGTCGGACTCTTGCATCCTTGGTTGTTTGCTCCTTTGTGCGCTGCTCGTGCGGTCGGACTCCTGTATCCTATGGTTGTTGGTTGAGCCCTTTGGCTTCGGTTCATGCGGTCAAACTGTTGTGTCCGGGGTTGTTGTTGGCTCCTCTGTGCTCTGTCTAGCGCGATCGGGCTCCTGTGTTCTAGGGTTGTTGCGTGTCTGTCTCGCGCAGTCGCATTTCCGTGTCGTCTACCCGGAAGGCAAGATATGTAGGAATATTTGGTTTTAAGGGCCTCTATGGTTTTAGCAATGGGGGCTTTACAGCTGAGATTAGATGAGCATTGGCGACCTTGTGGGGTCATCGGGTTCTGCGTGTTACCATCGAGGATTCCTATCTATTTTGGGAATGAGAAGGTTACTATCTGTGCTCTCGAGGGAAGTTCCCAGGTCCCTGGTCGTTCTTGCCTACCCCGGCCCTAGGAACCTCCCATGGGCCAGGGGTGAGAGTGAAATGGAGTAGCTACATATTGAAGCAGCGAACAAGACACATGACGGATGTACGTGCATGGAGGGCATCCAGAATCCTAGATGACGTGGCCGCTATTCTGTCCTTTTCGCATGCTTGATGAGGAACGCTGGCAGCTACGCTGGTTGCCAGCAGCCGCTTCTTTGCAGATTCATCCGGATGCTGTCCGATTGCATCTTACCATCGATACGCCACTCATAGGGGTGCTTCCCGTCCCGTTCGTACCGAGCTATTGGTGGTCTAGGTCTGTCAGGACTCTGACTCGATGGTTCTTTTCTTTCATGCCGGTTGCATCTTCTTGCCTGGGGCAGGGAGTGTCTTTTCTACATGCCTAGGCTTGTGCTTGTAGCGGAACCAACGGCAGGCTTGATATCTCTGGCCATCGAGCTGTATCGACAGAGGACTCTCTGGCTCTTGCATGGGCAATTCAGCTTGCGCAGGCTGTTGAAGCCCTGCCAGGAAGCGCTGCCTGCCGTACCCCGTGTATCTGGTCTTGGTCTATGCTGCTTGGTTCTTTGCCGGTGGCCGCCGTTACCGCAGCTTCTATGCCCTTGCTCGAAGTTGCAGGAAACTTTTGAACTTGTTTTGGCGAGGGAACTGAACTTTGATTGTTTGTCGTTTGGACGTGGGAAGTGTAGTGTCTCAGATCGACACATGCCCTGGGTTGACAGTTTCTGACGATTGCGCAAGTCCAGATTTAGTTCACTTTAGGTCCACCACTGCCACTGAGGCTGTGCAGATCCTTTGTTGCCTGCCGTCTCTACACAGCAGCCTCAGTCTAGCAGCTTGATCCTGACGATGTCGGGGCTTGCATTTGCGGGAGAGTGGGGTGAGTGTGTCGCCAACTGTTTCGCAGTCAGGAAATCCCAAGACACGGTTCCGCGACTGCCGCGACAATTTCCATCGCAACCCGGCTGAGTGCAGCCTGAACTAAGAAGCGCCTTTAGTACTCAGCTGGAGCTTGAGCATGGCAATCCCATAATCGGCCACTCTTGTTGTGATCATTCTTCCTTGGATTGTCATCCATTTCCAGTGCCGGTACTCTTGGGAGACCGACGACTGTTGGAACCCGATGCAAAGAAGCATTTCGTACTAGTGGTCAGTCGTCATCGTGGTAGTAGCAGCAGCAGTAGTAACAGCAGGAGGAGTAGGAGTAGGAGTAGGAGTAGGACTAGGACTAGGAGTAGGACTAGGAGTAGGAGTAGGAGTAGGAGTAGGAGTAGGAGTAGGAGTAGTAGTAGCGCTAGCACTAGCACTAGCACTGGCACCAGCACCAGCGCCGGCACTGGCACTGGCACTGGCACAGGCAGTAGCACTAGCACTAGCAGCCCTAGCAGCAGTAGTAGTGGTAGTAGCAGAAGTAGCCAGCGGACGGTGTTGACAAACTGCGTAGAGGCAGCGGTAGCAGGAGTAGTAGGAGCGGCAGCGGCAGGAGGAGTAGTAATGGGAGTAGTCGTGTGATGGTCGTAGTGGTGTCTTGTCTTGGTCGTCCCAGTGTGGTTCTGGCAGTGCTTGCGGTAGTGGTGGTCGTACTGGCAATGGTTATGGCAGTGGTACAGCAGTGGGAGCGGCAGCATGCGTTGCAGCGCGTTCGAGCATGGGATTGCTATTGTTGCTAGCCGCTGCCAATCTTCGAACAGGCAAATCTCATTGATAGGCTGAGCCTTCGTTGATCACGCAGAATGTCCTCATGAAAGCAGTCCCTATTCTTGGTGAGCACGGCCGTCTGCGTACGTGGAAGCCTGCTCTGAGGTCATGGCAGCGCACAACGAGCATCAGCTCTTTGGGCGCAAAATTCAGCATGTATCGAGTAGAAGTGGTAGTAATCATGACGACAGCAATGGCAGGAATCCAAACAATCATTTTCGCAACGCCAAGAATCATGCATTATGGTGGAACCTTCGCATTGAATTATTGACTTGTCAATGATATGGCAGGGCAGCCCCAACACGATCATTGCTGTTGCCTGTGGTGTTGTTGTTCTTCTTGTTGTTGGTGCTTCTTCTTGTTGTTGCTGCTGTTCTTGCTGTCATTGCTGCTGTTCCTCCTGTTGTTGCTGCTGTGCTGTAGTAGTAGGAGTGGTGGTGGTGGTGATGCTATAGTGGCAGTAGTAGCAGTAGCAGCAGCAGCAGCAGCAGGAGGAGGAGGAGGAGGAGGAGGAGGAGGAGGAGGAGGAGGAGTAGTACTATCTGTTGTTGTTTTGCGTTTGTTGGTGTTTGTTGTTGTTTGTTGTTGTTTGTGGTTGGTTGTGGCTGGTTGTGCGTCGTCCGTTGTTGTGTGTTGTTGTTTGTTGTTCGTAATTATTTGTTGCTGATTGTTGGTTGTTAGTTGTTGGTTGTTGCTTGTTGGTTGTTGTTGCTGTTGCTGTTGCTGCTGTTGTTGTTGTTGTTGTTGTGGTTGTTAGTATTGTTGTTGTTCGTTGTTTCTCGTCGACGCTGTCGTCGTCGTTGTTGCTGTTGCTGTTGCTGTTGCTGCTGCTGCTGCGGCTGCTGCTGCTGCTGCTTTGCAGCTGTTGCTGCCCGGAACTTGTTGATGTTCTGCTTCTGTTCTGTATTATTCTGGCCGGTTGTTGTCGGTTGTCTTCTTGCTGCTGTTGTTGTGAAGCAGTATTTGCCATGCACGTCCTTCAGATCATTCGCATCCCGACACAGCCTGAAACGCAGGATGAGCAGGCATCCTGCGGCCAATGGCAGTATAGCTGCAAAAATCATATTACTATAGTATGCAGTGCGAGGCACTGCACTACGGATTGTAGAAGAGCGAGCTTGAGCTACTAACGACCGCCAGCGCCAGTGGCAGCTGGGGGACTTTTTTGCGAGGTACTTGAAGCGAACGCTGGGGACTTAGCCTTGGAGTTCGATCCTTCCTCAGTGCAACTCGGAGAGCTTAGAAGGCTCGACTCCATTATCGACAGCACTCCGCTGGATGCGCTGGTGGAGATCATCCTTGCCCTTCGGCATTCTGCGTTGCGCTGGTCTTCCCAGCTCTTTTCTGCTTTCCTTTGAGGTGGACGACGGCAGCTCTCCGCCGCTGGCACCCTTGGTGACCTCTTATAGCCTGGTGAAGCTGCTGCTGAGCTGGTTGTCGGATGTTTTGCGAGGTTGCTTGTAGCTTTCGAGAATCGAGATCATGACTCACGCAGATCAGAGGCTGCGGCACGAAAGCCGCCGTGGCTTAATCAAGTCCAAGACAGAGGGCGGGAATCGGGCGACGGGCGTCCGGGCCTCGGGCGGCGTCCGAAGAGACGTTTGTCTGCAGCACCTCCGTTTCTGCAAGCACGAAAGCCGCGTTTTGCTTCTCTTGGGATGAATTATGAATGGCGCAGCTGCTGGGCTGTCGAGCTGCAGGGCAAGATCATGGTGTAACGTAACGGATGTTGAACGATTTCGGGTTTTGTAGCATCGGTAACCGTGCGTCCGTGCCGCTCGTCGGATTCGGATGCTAGCCATGGCCTTCTTGAAGTTGCTTCCTTATCTCACTGTTGCTGTCATTCCTGTGCCTCTTCCGCTCCCCGCCTCCAGAACGAAATGCACGCTCTTGCGGCGCAAGACGGTGTCGCGCCAGGACGTCATCATGTTCTTAGATGCTCACGTCCGACCTGTTCCAGGCATCGCTGAACGTGTATTTGTAGGTCTTTTCGGCAGGGTGGCTCTAGCTAGTGATTTGCAGGAAGTGACACTAGCCGAAGGGAGTCGGGAAGCTTGAGGTGCGAAAGCCGTGTAGCCGTGTTGCCGGATGACGAGGCTGGCACGTACCGCTGCTGAGACACATCGGCCAAAACTACAAGCGCAGCCGGGCCTGAGTGTTGATGCGGTTGGTGTGATGCAGCCAAAGGTGGGAGCCGATCCTATCCGGCTCGCCACTTCGTGACCACCACTACTGCCAATTTAGGAACCACGCAGCTATCGAAGTCGACCGTTGTCAAACGAACTCTTTGCAGGTCTTGCTGTTGCTGGAATCTTCATGACGGCTCAGGCCAATGGTGGCCCCTGAAAATCCGAGGCGTAGTCGTTCCGCTGATACCCATCCTGAATGCGGACACCTGGGAAGTCAACAACAATGCCATTGGTGTGAAGATGATGTTCCGATGCCGCATGTGGTAGTGGGGCACAGCAAGATGGCAAGCTAATGCAAGCTCCGACGGTCGAGGTTCGACTGGACACTTTTCTTCAATTGGTTCGAAGATGGCAGCGACATTGTGCCGTGCATGAGCGGAGGCAGGGTGCACACGCACGACCCTGGTCCGAGTATATCCTCCTGCTCTGAGGTCTTTTCGCCATCTCGAAGCGTTGGTGGCACGAGTCGGGTGAGTGTCTTCGCTGCACTGCCAGTCACTGCCAGTTCGGGTGACGTGCCTGCTGATGGCAAGCTTTCCACGATGCGCTGAGAAGGTACGACTATGGCATGAATATGTGGGGTGCAGAGAACATCGAGCAGTCCATTCGGCATCTCAGCGACAAGTTCAGCCTCACTCCAGGCGGTTCGACTGGCATGAGTCTTTTGGGCCCGAACCTTGTCGACAGGTATTGTTTTTCACCTCGGAGTCTAGAGCACCGCCCCTGCGTGACCGACAAAGAATGCTTACATGGCAAGCCGTACGTGAGACGATTTCAGATGCTTCGACTGTAGTTTACTGGAAAGGCAATTCAAGGCCACTTGACCTCAGTACAAGGCAGCAGTGCCAAGGTAAGCGGATCGCGTGCGTTGGTGAAGCAAGCATGTCACCAAGACTTGCCTCACGTGAGGCTGCGAAGCATGTGCTTAAGTACTATAAGTAGTACTGGAGGCGGCATCAGCTTCAGAGCCACAACACTCAGGATCTGGCTCTGTGGGGGCGAGATCTTCGTGGCGCGAGACTCCCGTGTTGACACTCTGGAGCATTATTGATTTGGGCAGGTCGCAAGGGTGGCTACTTCTAAACTTGGCAGTGAGGAGTGCTGGTTCGCCACTTCATGTTCAGAATCGTGGGGGTAGGCTTGTGTTGTGTGAACAAGGCACTCTCGGGTTATAAGGCTACGAAACACACATGCTTGGCCATGATGGTGCCTTGCGCTCTTCCGGCACACATGCCCAAGGGCGTTGTTGCTAGTCACAGGCCGTATGTTGACGCTCCCATCTGCCGAGCCAAAGATTTCCATCTCTCAATGGTTCTGGACAAGTTGTCTTGCAATTGCATGCGTGAGCTGGGTACGAATGTTCGGTTCACAGAAGTTGTAAGGTAGACCTCCTGATGCCTGTTTGATGCATTCCGCCTCGCTCTCAGGCCCACGTTTTCCGAAGATCCTTCCCATATGCGGTGAACAACACCGAGCCTTTCTTGCAAATACTGGGACGATGCCTGGCCGATGCTGGCGGCTTCTGCCATGTTATGCCACGCATACCACTGTTTTGCACATCTGAGAAGGCGGCCCAGATGTCCGACAGGATGGGCAAATGCCACCGACGATGTACACTTTACTGTGATTTCAGATTTGGCTACTCCATGGTAACCAATACAACCAAGCATACTCACCGAAGCATGCTGATGCTTTTTTGTGCCGAGACTCGGAAAGTAGGTCCACAGGCACTACAAAGGGATGAGGCACGTGAGTCAGCCAGGCTTGATAATGCACAAACAGTTGGGAACCGCTCCAAACATCAAACACATGGAATCTTGCCAAGGGCCACCTTATCTCTTCAGAAAAGCTTGCCTCTGCAAATCTCGAAGCTGGCTCCCCTTGGGCAGTCACGCCTACACCTACATTTGCAAGGCTGAGTTTATTGCGGGTACCAGCTGGAGCATATGATATCGATAAGCTACTCAGCTGTTCCGCTACAGCCAAAACCACCTCGGTACTCGAGGTTCCCTTCAACTTCCTGTAGCGCACACGAGATGCACATGTTCCGGTTGTCAGGAAGTCTACATCAACAAGGTGCGGACAGTGGAAACCTGGTTTGACGACTACAAGCGATTCGTCTATGCCGCTTCGATAGCATGTCCCAGAGAAAGGTCCCCATGGCTACTGGCAAAGAGATGCAATGAGCAGAATCAGTTCGATGTGCGCTGCACTTCGCATGGCTGTGCAAGCTCGTTTCGTCCTAAGGCTGCTGACCCCGCAGCGCAGCGATTCGTTTCCAGCATGGGCAGCCCTGCAGCAAGCGGTTGAAGAGCAACATGTATCCCTTGCTGCTCACTGCATTCGTCATAGGCGACATCTCAGATCGAGAAGCGTTGAAGTCCCAGCTGAACTGCAAGCCCTTCAGTTGGCCAGATCCTCGGAGCAGAGCAGAGCAGCAGAGCGGAAGACGGCCCTCTGCTGCAGCTTCTCGCAGGGTGTTGGGTTAGAGCCATGGTCATAGTCTGTTTTGGAGGTACGTCGCGAAGTTCAAGGCCACAGACCGCAGATGCCGTCTTCCGCAGATGGATCGGCTGAAGCTTGCTCCTTGCACAGGATGTCTTTGAGAGCAAGAACATGTTGCCCAAAGAAGCTTGCACCGCATTATGGCTGTCTGCTGTAGGCTATTTAGTAGCCACCAAACGGCTTCATGCATCTTTATGCGGCATGCCTCCTTGCTGGCCCTTGCTGCCGTTTGCCTTGTTGCGCTGCACAAGGACATGTTCCTGATCCGTGACACTGCCAGGCACTCATGGAATCTTGTACCACTGGATGTCAGTATGGCTACACCCGGTTCTCCGGTCATGTGCCTCCGCAGTACTTTCTCAAAGGCCGGCCATGAAACGACCCGGATATTGAATCAATGAAACTCGAAGTTTGAACTGGGAAAGCAAGCGCGGGGGGCCCCTCTAGCAGCCAAAGTTCTCATGGGCTCAGTGTGGCTGCATGGAGTGCTTCCGGAGGATCCTTCGCCGATCGCTGCTCATTGTCATCCTGCTTGGTGCAAGCTACCCGCTGCTGCTTCTTGCAGTTGGCAAGATCGACCCGCTGACCTTAGGAAGATTTGGAGTGATTTTTGCCCGCACTGCCTACACACCTGCACAGGCTGCAGAGCCTCAGCCTGATGACCAGCAGACCGCGAGGGAGCCGCAGAAGCCGGCGGCGGAGACGACCGAGACCAATGAAGTCGAAGTCGTCTCGGTGGTGCTCTCAGCATCCAAAGGGAGCGAGCCGGCAGGTTTTTGCCAGGTTCTGCAGGAGCTGGCCGACCGCAGCTGCTTAACAGACAGTGGAGGAGGTGGTGACTGCAGAATTCGGGCGAATTGCAGCGACACTCTATCTGACGATGCATCGGATTTCTCGCCGCCGGCAACTGCAAGTGAAGCGATGCTTCCTAGGAGCTCCGGCACCCGTTTTGTGCTCTTTCTGCGGGATCCGCGAGACGTCCTGATTTCGGCTTGCGACTTGCCCAAATCGTACACCGGTTGCGAGAATTTGAACCTTTTCCTGATGCAGAACATCCGGCGTGTTTCGAGATCGGTAGACCTACGCCACCGCATCTTTACTTCCATGATGCAGCAGAGTTCCGGGAGAGCAGAAGTCTTCTACTACGAAGACTTCCACCGCGCTGCCACCAGGAGCCGACTGCTGGCTGATTTGGCGCAGTTCCTGGGTGTGTCCTTGGCAGAGCCTGAGCTTCTGTCCTTGGCTGAAGGAGGGGGAAAAAGTGCCATTTGCATGGCCAACTCTTTGCTCCCGAACTTCCTGGCGGCGTCCTTGACGCGTGCGATGACCAGGGAGCTGCCTTTGGATTTAGCAAAGCGATGGCAAGAGTTGTGCCCTCCGCTTTGGCCCAAAACCTGCCGAAGGAAGCTCAACCGTGGACAAGGGCTGATAGGTGACAGCTGTGGCAAACATGCCCAAGGCTGCCCGGATCTTTGCCATCGAATACATGAGCCACCTTTCTGTGCCTCGATGTCCTCCGGCCCTGGCATTCCGAGACCTTGTCGCGTGGAAAGCACGGGCGATTGGTTTCAGCACGTGGCATCCAGTCTGGAAACGCGGGGTGTGATCCACACGTATTTTGTGCCACCATCAAGCAAGACATCGAAAGTCAAAGCTCAAGAGGTCTACACCATGCTTGCCGCCTGGCGCTATGCTTGGGAACGGGCGGGGTGGACGACACGCGTGCTGACCTTCAGCGATGCCCAAAGGTCACCGGATTTCGAAGAGTTGAACCAAACGCTCTGGTCACAGTTGTTGAGGCCCGCGAGTGAGAGCTACAGCTCGGAGCTCCAAGGCTATTTCCGCTACTTGGCCATGGCCTCAGCTGGCGGCGGCTGGATGTCCGAGTACGACGTGATCCCCACGTACCTAACTGCGGACATGGAGCCTGCAAACAACGGCACTTTCACCGTCTACCAGAACGAGGTCCCCTCCCTCATGTCCGGCTCCAAAAAGGAGTGGTTAAAGGTGGCCAAGGCAGTGTTCCAAGAAAGGCTGCAGCACAAGGATCGTGAGTCCTTCTCCGAAAGGCAAGCCTTGGAGGTGCTGAGGTTTCAGACGGACCGAGACCGCGACTTTGTCTTCATGAACGTGGTTGCAGAGGCCGATACTTGGCGGAATCTTCCAATGACACATTGTCAAGTAATGGAACAGATGACCCTGGCCCTGCACTTCTCTGACGCGTCGATCGCTAGGGCAGAATTGAAGAGCATGAACCGCAGCAAGCTTATGATGAAGGCAGCCAATCGCTGGTGGGCCTGTCAGTCTCCGCAGTCTACGGCGTATACGGGCGTCATTTCCTCGTCAAAGTCGAAGCCACTGCCAGGGACCGGGCCGGGACGCGTGAAGTTTCTACCCCCCTTTGGGGCAGAGGGAAACGCCAGCTTTCGGCTCCTCCTCCCGCCGGAAGCAGGGGCAGCGCCCGCAGGGGCTGCAGGGGATGCAGGGGGTGACCTGGGGGTGGCCTGTACTGTGTTGAATCAGCTGGCGAAGCTGCGCTGCTTCAGCAAGCTTAACTGCTCCTCAGATGTCACATGCGGGAGGGATGGCATGTATATTGACAACGTCAGCGACGGCAGCTGCAATGACGTTTGGCCGCCCGAGCGCAATGCCACAGACATGCGTGAAGAAGCGAGGCTATTCCTACATGCGGGGCATTCAGCGCAGGTCCTTGTTTTCCTGAGGGACCCAAGAGACATCGTGATTTCCGCTTTTCGAAGAGCTAAGACCAATCCGGACTGCCCATCCATGGAACTCTTCGCTTTGAGGCACATACAGCCTGTGTCGCGATGGGTGAATTTGCGGCACGAGTTTGTTATGCGCTTGCGAGAGATTGACGACACTCGCGCTCAAGTTTTCTTTTCCGATGATCTTTACAGCAACTTGACAAGTGCCGTGCGCTCCATGGCCCTCTTCGTGGGCGTGCGGGAGAGGGAGTTGTCCGCATCGATGATTCAGTCACTCGTCGATGTTGGCATGTCCAGCGGCCCCAACACAACCACCACAACAGCCCGGCATCGTTGCCTTTCGAGTTCCGCTGTGACAGAGCACGTGGGTGCTGCGATGACGCGGCTGATGAAGCGAGAGCTTTCGCAGACCCTCTGGGAGAGATGGCGAAACTGCAAGCAAACGTGGCCAAAGGTGCCCACATGTCCAAAAGGCTCGCAGCTTGCCGTAGGGAGCGAGGACTCCGAGAACTCCGGGGACTATTGCAGCGGTCCGAAAGGTCGCTCGTGCCCGAGTCTCTGCAAAGCCCGGAGGCAGGGCTTCGGCTGCCTGGAGCCGAGTGTGAAAGAATCTCCGGGACCTTGTGTGGCCTCCCGCATTCCGGAGTTCTGGGGGGCGGCTTCCAGCAAGACGCCTTCGAAAGTGATGCACACCTACTACACCAACGAAGACGATCCGTCAGACAAGGCAACAAACACGCTTGGTGCCTGGCAGGAGGCTTGGCGCCGTGCTGGCTGGGAGACCCGGATTCTGACCATAGAGGATGCAAAGACTTCGGCAAACTTTAGCCAGGTAGAAAGAGACTTGCTCACAAAGGTGCCTCTGGGCAACAACCCAAGATATGACTACCACTGTTACATGCGCTACTTGGCTATGGCCGAAGCAGGAGGCGGTTGGATGTCGGACTACGACGTGATCCCGACCTGGCTAACGCCAGACACAGACTTGCCCAACAACGGCAGCTTTACCATTTACCAGAACCATGTTCCCGCCTTGCTGTCGGGCACACAGGAGGAGTGGTATCGCATGACACGTGCTCTTGTATCCGTTGCTGTGGAGCGAGGCGAGGAACACGCGATCTTGGCCCAAGGAAAGAAGCTCTTTTCCGACATGATTGCAATGCTGGTGCTCAGGAGTGTGGTCCCACAGCCTCTGAAATATGTGAACGTCATCGCAAATGGCAATGAATGGGGTCCGGACGTGCGTGAGGTCGATTGCGAGACTGTGCAAAGCTTCAGTCTCGCAGTCCACTTCTCCCACCGGGCATTAAGCGAGCTTCATCGGAATCTGGGCAGTCGCGGTCGGACGATGACGGAGGCTTCCGAGCGCTTCTGGAAGTGTGCGGCAGAGGCATCGCGGAGCTTCGCATCAAACGGGCATGCGATCTTGAATGTTTCTGATCGTCTGGGTGGGCCGTCCAAATGAGGAGGAGTGCTCGCAGGGGTACCTTTCTGGCTTTTGTTGGTTCTCAGCTCTCTCGGCCCGCTTCCAATGCAGCAGTTGCTAGATCGGCTCCAGCACTACAGGTTTCGCAGGAAGGTAGCGTTTGGGGTTTGCTTTGGGCTTCAAAAGCCGACTCAACATCTTTAGCATGCGTGAGCTGTTGGAGCAAGTTTTTGTGGATCCAGTCTACATCAAGCTTTGCCAAGCTTTGCCTGCATCTGAATCAAATTCTGGCACCTGAAACCTTAATCCGGCAGCCTAAGGGCACGGGCCTTTGCGTTCTACCGGAGCGGCGTACCCATCGGTTGCTTGAAGGGCCCTGCCGCACGGAGGACGCGCTTAGGTCTACACGAGCAGCTCGCGTTTCATGAGGTCACGGTACAGAGCTGCCAGGACAGGCGTCTCCGATGGACCTACGCGAACAAGGGCAGTGTCCTCAGAGACATCAGAGCCGGCTAATGCAGAGCAGCAAGTCTTCCCGACAGGGCGCAGCCTGCAACATGTTGACACGGAGACGCTCCGCAGCCGAGTTTCTGGCGGCATGCTGATACTTGCTGTATATCCGAGTTAGTCGCAATGTTTGAGGTGCTTGGACGCCGATGCGGCGGAGACGCAGAAGGTCGGTGCAAAGGTGCTGTGAACTCGCCGCACTAAACATCCAAGTTTGGGTCTGTAGTTCTGTAGTTCTGGAGACGACCCGAGGCTTTATCGCTGTATACAAAGCTCACCCATGCAGGACAGCTCTGGGCAGTCATGTGTTATATAGTTATATAGGAATACTACAGGATGGATAGTTGGCTTCCTGTGAGGAGTGGACATTTCGACAGGGCCACTTGAAGTTTGCCAGCCTTTGCATTGGCCCCAGAGCGGAGCGGAGGGGGAAGCTGGGCAGCCTAGGCCGCTTAGGCCTTAGGCAGCTTTCGCTGGGCTCGTCCCAGGTGTCAACGGCTCGGCGGAGGGCGACTTGACCTTCGCGCGCTGCGGAAACTTCCTGCAAGAGCGAGGCCCCTTCGAGCCCTTCGACCAGAAGGCACGTATAGACAACTCCGCAGAGCACTGTGGCGTAGCGTGCTTGCTCCGAGCACAGGCCATGGGACCGTTCCCTGCACGAAGGCCCCTTTTAGAGCTGCGAGCAAAAACTGCCTGCCCCCGTATCAGAACCTGCTCGAGGTCAGCCGCCGGCTAATTGATGCGTGAAAAAGATCGGGCGTGGATTGTGCCTTGCATCGCTGGCACTCGCCTGCAGCCTTGCAACATGACAGAAACTTCGGAGGGTCACGGGGTCACGGGGTTCCAGCGGGGTTCCAGCCGATCCATGAGGGCCGCCGGACGACGAGCCGAGCGCGGCTCTTTAGCGCGCAGTACGCAGGCGAGAGCTGCAAGCTCGCTGCTCGCGTGCTGCGTTCGCCTCAACTTCACTGGCGTTCAACAATGAGCACAGAGCCTGTCCAGGTACGTCGATTCGGATCGGCTTCGATTGAAACCTCTCTGCCTTGTGCAGGCAGTCTTTTGAACATGTGCCGCTCAGATGTTGCATTTTGCGCAACCAAGAGAAGCCTTCCTTTCTCGTGAGCTTGACGTTCAAACCTAGTCAGTGCAGGACATGATGATAAGAGTGTCTGTCCGGATGCTAGGGCATGTTGGCCTTAGCTGCCTCAGCACTTGCGCGTCGCGCGTGGACTGCAGTCTACATGAGGAGTGCTGGTAACGGTCTCGGTGAAACCTGGCGTTTCCTACGTAGGTGTCAGTAGGCTGTGCGCTTATCGAATGTGAGCCATGGCCCGATCTCTGTGCTCCAGATGGAGGTCTGAAGTGGGACGTTGTGGTACAGAGTACTGCAATCATGCTTTCGTGAAGTCGGTTTGACGTGAGCTTGCGCCACGAAGTTTTCGTTCGCTTGCATGTGATGTCATCGTGCCAAATGATGCTTGTCAGCGAGTCCTGCTGCTGCCGTCGCCCCTGTTCTGGGCAGAATGCCACTGTCGCTGCCACTAGCAACTGCGACGAGGATGCTGTGCACTGCAGCAAGAACACCATACCGGCTGTGGATGCTAGGCTGAGAGATACGACCTTGTGTCTAGTGCCCACTCGAAGGCAGAAGATCGTCTCGCGGACACTTTGGGCCGTCCTCGCCACCGGCCCTGAAAAGTCAAAGCTTGGTCATGGAACATGCGGGGTCCCTGGGCTCGGGGCTCTGGCCGAGGCTGCCTGGGGATCTTCGCTTTGGCTGCCTGTGGCGAGCACGGCGGGACCCGCCGTCCTGAGGCTCGCAGCTTCGCCCCGTGCCACAAATCCTTTGCTCTTGTCCGACGCCTGGAGGCGACCTTGGCTCGGCTGCCTGGCGGCCGCTGTTTCGGTGCCTGCGGAGGCCCAGGCCGATGGTGCCTTGGAGACTTGGAGCTGGGAGTGGTGGCACAGCCGGGGCGCTGTGGGAAGCGGAGACTGAGAAGCGCAGGTGAATGTTGGCCTCCGGAGCCTCGCCCGGCGGTCGCGGCCCAGGCATCCGATCCTGCGATGTAACTGAAGACGGGCTGCTGCAGCTGCAACGGGTTGCTCAGCCCAGCAGGCCAGAGACGGGCGTTCGCATGAGCGACCTGGGAGTCATGGAAGGTGCTTGCTGCGGTAGATCCCCAAGCCGAAGAGTTGCTTCACCTGTTCCTGTTCAGGTGCGCAGGATGCAGACGGTGCCCGATTGGTCGCAGCAGAGGCTTGACCCCACCGACGGTGGCATCCACCGACAGTTTGCCTTCCCAGGTCCTCTCCTCGTCCGAGACCCGTGTGACTGCCGTGCGCTGAGATGCGCTCACTTCCCGCACCGCTCCATGCTCCATGGGCTGCAGGTGAGTTTCCGCACACCTTGGCCGGTGACCTCAGAGCCTCGTCCAAACGAAAAGGACGGGAAATGCGGGGAATGGGCCTAGCGGATGTGGGCCGAGCTGAGGATCGCACAGCCTCCTCGAAGGGGCTTGAAGTGAGAAGCAAGAGCAACTTGGACACGCTTTGACACAACTTCCAAAGCAGCCGGTTTCTTCTGCTTCTTGGCCGTTGTGCTGTTTTCCAGGTGGGGGTGCTTATGCCTTCTTGCAGGCACAAAACGGGCATCCGCAAATTTTGAGTTTGCGTGGGATTTTTGTCTTGTGCAGCCCTGACATCATCCGTTGACATCTTTAAGTCTTGAAGACTTGGGGAGAACCTGCGCATATGTAAAGAAAATATTTGGTGACATTTGTGGCATCCGAACTTTCAGTGCAGGTGATCCCTGGTGTGAACGGAACTGCGACGACGGAGCAGATCCTGGATGCTGTGCTCAGCAGCAAAGGCCTTTCGTTCTGATTGTCTTCGTGGCTCCACACATGGCTTGATCATATGATTCATTTCAGCCGTTGCCAGCCATGCGATTGGGTCTTGCACCGGCAATCCAGGGATTGTGGAACTGTCTTTCCGGCTCTTTGTGGGCCCTGGCTCCCTACACGAGGCAAGTTCGGCGCCTACGGCGAGCCCGCGGACGTGCGGGTGATTCAAGACAAGGAGCTGGCCGGCGGGGACAGGCCGATAATGATCTTAGAAGCAGAATCAAGCGTCGAGTGTCGTGACCATCCAATCGCCGTCGTCGTCATCATCATCATTCTGATCATCGTCATCACCACCGCCACCGCCACATCTGCATAAGCGCCAGCAGCAGTCACTCGCTTGCCTCACCCCTCGCCTTGCGCCGATAAGCAGCATGGAAGAACAGGGCGGAGCGAGCCCTTTGGACTTTCAGGCAGCTGGTTCTTCTCTTTACATCCTACTCCCCGCAATCCGCCCCTCGGAAGAAGCGGCCGTGTGCACTTGTGGTATCTTGTGGTAGCAGTGGCGTCGCATGTGCACTTTTTGTCGCGTGTGCACTTTGGTGCCCAAACCTGGCCCCCGAGGCCGAGTACCAGAACCGTGCGATCGTCAGATCGACCACGGTCGACGGCGACGCCTTCGTTCTGGTGGGGGATCCCTTGGGCGCTCTTCAGAAAACTTTCTTTAGAGTCAGAGGCTCTTGAGGAGGGCGGGTTTGAGGTTGTCGTTTAGGGTTTAGGAGTTGTCCTGGATGCTTTTGGCTGTATGCACTTATCTATGCATGTAGATCTTATATGTTCATTTCTTGCATGTCTGTCTGTACGTATGTGTGCATGTATGTACAGACACAGGTGCAGAACCTTGCAGAACCTATGACTGTGAGTTGCGAGTGTGCAAGGCCTTCGCATGCCATAGAGGATGGAGAGGAACTTGGTGAGGGACCGTGTCGGGCAAGAAAGACAGACACATGCACAGTGCACATGTCTGGGACCTTGCGCCAGGTGGGCGCAGCATTCGACGAGAGGTGGCAGAAGGAGCCGCAGGCGGGAGCTCGTTAGACTGCTGCTCGCGTGCCAATGCGAATGCAAAGAACTTCGCCGCTTCGTGAGCCTCCAAGAATCTACGCGTGAGTTTGAATTTCGCGTCAGTATCCGGCAGGTTGCATCTATCCTACTTGGCATAGTTGGCCTGGTGCCCAGTTCACAGTTAGGATGGTTTAGGGTCTGGCGAAGTCTTGGGAAGGATTCACCAGCGTTTCACTTGGGACCTGACCAATCCAAAGTGCTGCCGAGACCAGGTTCGTTTCGCGCGGACCCGTCCAAAGCGACGGCGAGATAAGCGCTGATGGCGTGCATGGTGGCTTGCTGAGCTCAAAGAGGCATAAGAAGCTTCAGGTTCCCTTCGGAGGAGTTTGCGGTTTCTGCGCCTGCAAACGGGCTACCGTGCCGCGCAAGAACCTCACAGCATGTTAGAACGACTTGTCAGCGTGTTCATCTTCCGACACATGCCTGCACTATGATTCTCGATGTTGTTTTTGCTCCTTGCGCGAGCTGTGCAGCACATGGAGGACTCTTCAGGACACACTGTGCAGTGTGCACTTAGACAGGGTAGAAATGTGCAGATGCATAGCCAGGCAGCATTTGTTTTCCGAAGACCAGTGAGCATTGCAAGAGCCGGTCAGCTTGGAAGCTTCACTCAGGCCCAGGGAGGGCTGGGAGTTTTCAAACGAATTTCGGAACATCTCAGTGCTTTGCAATGGGATGCCTGCTGAGCCTCTCTGGCAGCTGAGCTGCGAGGGCCCGGTGCCGAACTTACGCAGCGTTTGTCAAGCGTCATCTTCTGCTTTCACATTCCGTTCGTCGAAGCTCAGAGCTTGAGACGTTGAGGTACTGAGCACGGTCTATGCGCAAGAGGTCCTAGGGCTGCTAGGGGGGAGAACACCATGGCATGTAGCATGTGCATCATCAACTTCTCTCGCAGCCAGGCGAAGTCTCTTGTGACCCTCACGGCCTGGCAGCTGCAGTCCTGGGACCTCGCCGCCTTGCTGCAGATTTGGATCTCAGGCCAACAGGTGCATCATCAGCATGTTGCGCTTGCTATTTCGGAGCCTGTTTTTTGCCAGTCAGACAGCTGTTTCGGTCTGGCGTTCACATTTTGTGTCGTTGGCACTGGCTGCAGCAACGAGCGAGCGGAGGGTGGCTCAGGTTTGTTGCATGCTTGGTTTGGTAGCTGAGCAGTTCTGGACGTTTTGGTCGCGTCGGGTCGGTTGGACTTGCAGGGTCGGAGTCATCGTCCGTGCCATTTCCGGAATCCGACAAGCCATTTCTTCCGGCATTCCGGACTAGACTTTCTGAATTCCTCCTTCGTTTCCCGACTTATTTTTTCGGATCGTGATGCAAAGATGTGTCAGTCCAAGCTTTGGCCCAGAATTTGCCTGCACTCGCCAAGACTTCACAGACCGACGGACAAACGCACCCGAGGGTACCTTTTGCACACTGCTTGGAGTCGAGGAGTCGAAGCTTCCACGCTGCGGCCTACGGGGCGAGGGATGCTGGCAGGCGAGCCCCCCGGGAAGTCCGCAGTAAATTGATCCGAGGTGTTCTCAGATGCGCGGGGGTGTTCTGCAAGTGACGAGGTTCGTCTCGAGCGGCAGCAGTCAAGCCCCCCATGCACAGCAACGAAGAACTAAGTTGCGAAACCCTGGCACACCACCTACTCCCAGCGTGTATTTTTTACGAAGACATACGAAGACGTAACACAGCTCGAAAGGGGTCGGTTAAGAATTGAATAGGTAAGGACACCGCGCGAATGGCCCCCATGCTTTTCCGGCACCAGTCCCAACCCCGACAGGCGGCAACGACCCAGCTGGGCGTGCACCCATCTCCCTGTCAAGGTAATTGAGAATGCACGAATGACAAGTAATTAAGTATGAATATACTTCCTCTACATGTACACACAGTATTCACAGATGCACAAAGGTGCACGTGTGCACCCGTGTTACTTGTCACACACGGGCTCAGCTAAGAAGTTATTAGTTTGCTCTCACAAAGAACCCGACTTTCGCGACATTCGCGGCAGGCCTTAACCTATGCGCGCCACCTGCGGAGTGTAGCGGCTGGCGCAAGGGCCGCGCTCCCGAGTTCAGAGTAAGTTTTAGATCAAATATGGCTACATCCTTGCATGCAAATGCAGGAACACAATAGTCAATAGTCATCTCCTGATAAAATACTGTTTGTATTATATTTAGTTACATTGTATTAATTTTTGTTTCAGCAATTTTGTAGTTATCTTCTCAGGTGTCTTGTATTGTTCTGGTTACAGCAGCGAGTTCGTCAACCTGATTGGAATCGAAAGCACCTGAAGGTGGTGATTTTCCGATAGTCCGACTGAAATGTGGTTGTGAGCCACGTATCGTTGAATTCCGCTGGTAAACCTGTTACAGTATAGCTACGCATGGTGTAAGATGGCATCCTCTGTTTCTGCTGCATGGGCCGAGGATGGCACAGTGACTGTGTGGGATGTGACTAGTGGTGCTGCCTCGATCTCAGACGTCATTCAAACTAGCGGGTCATCCGCATGATACGGGTGGGGTTCCAGTCAAGCTGCAGCCGCGAAGCTCTTTCGAGGCCACGAGGGAGCTAAGCTGCCAGCTGAGCTTCGTACAAGAGGCTGATCTTTGCGATTATTTCCAGTGCTCAGCTCGGGCGAGGCTGTGGAAGCGCCGTGGCCTGCCTCGACTATGCTGAAGCCATCAAGGCCCACAATTGTATGAGGTACTACTACTGCGTGTAGGGTCCAGCAGCAGGCAGCCGGGAATGAAGCAAGACTGAGCATGCACCAGAGCACATCATGTACATTCAGCCATCTGCTATGCTAGGAGCAGGTGGTGGAAGTTAAATCCAACTTCATTCCCACGATTGGTGTGTGCCGCCCGGTTACCTTCAGGCTGTCGTTACCGGGGAGGAAAACGGCACGATCATACTGTGGGATCTGACGCGAGGCATGGTGGCGTGAAACTCTTGGTGCACCGAAAGCAAACTGAACGGGGACACCTTTTTGCACATGTCTCAGGGCTTCAGCTTGCCGTGCTCTGGTGCAAAGCCACAGCTCGGGGCTGAGTGTTTCGAGAGTCCGAGCAGAGCATCGGATGGCAAGTGATGGCCGACGGCCCATGCTTCACAGGTACACTCGATTGCATATTGGTTTATAGCTCCCTACATCCGCGACATCCCGCACCTCAACAACGGAGAGCCCCATGGCATCCGTGAGACGGAGACAATCGGAGACGCATTGCAGGCCCACGACAGTGTCATTAGTCAATAACCATTGGCGCGATCGCACCAGTGATGATGATGGTCATGATGATGGTGATGATGATGATGAGGATGCTGACGCTGATGGTCATGGTCGATGGCCATGACGACGATGATGATCCTGAAATACTTGTGACTTGTGGCGAACTCATCAGAAGTACAGATAACTTAGCGCTTTCGGTGCTCGTCTCTAAAGTCTGGTGCTTTCCTCCCGGCGAACGCCCGAAAGATCGAACGTGGAGAAATCTGAGGGCTTGTTTATCTCATTGCAGGCGCCAGGCGGGACTACTTATTTCGATCCAGCGTCTCATTGCAGGTCTTCGTCTCAGCTCCGCTAAAGGCTCCTTTGAGGCCTCCAGACTCCAGAGCTCCCCATTCCTTCGGCGGAGTCCCTTTTGTGCTGGGCCACAGGATGCAGGTCCAATAATTCTGTGGTCGTTTGAATTTCTCTCCCTCTCCCTTTGATGGCTCCTTTGCTTCAAGGATCTTGTCGAAGCTCATCCCGGCGAGCGAAAACGGGACCATGGGCAGGGCCGTCGTCACTGGAGATTCAGCCTTCAAGGCCCTTGGCCAGCCCTTGGCCAGCCCTTGGCTTCCCGGCTTCTCTTCCTCTCTTCCTTTCCTTGCAGGGGGCTTGAGTGAAAGGGGTATTCTCTTTAGGACTCTTGACGGCGATGTGGGAAGTTCAACTTCATGGGAACAAAGGGGCAGTCACGCTTGGGCTCTGTGAAGGTCACGGTGTGGGACATCGAGACGTCGAATGCTCGGAAAACCTTCGACTGCTCCAGCAACGTGCTGGCCATTGCCGTGTCGCCGTTCCTGGGATTGGTCGCCGCCGGCGAGGCACATGTCCAAAAAAGGTCATGACTGCCAGAGATACTAGTTATATACTAGTCAGTGACAGCATGCTTTCCTGACATGCCTGTCCCTCTGTGCCCGCAAGGCGAATGGAAGAGTCACGTTGTGGGATGTCGAGATCGAGCATCTCGTCTCGACATTCGCCAGCTTTCTATGCGAGAAGGCTCCGCACGGACAAAGTCCAAAGACTGTGCTCCGGGCTCCGAGGTGTGCTCTCCACCGCTACGAGGGCGGGGCGGTTTCTGCTCTGGCCTTCGTTTCCCTCAGCCTGGAGGACGCAGTTCTTGACAAATGCAGAGCATACAGCGCATGGAGCATTTCGAGGCCGCGAGGCCTAGGCTTCTCTCGGCGCTGTCAGGAGCAAACCTTGGTCTCAGCGGACCCTTGCGTTGCACTTCGGGCCTCTTCTATTCGCCATACCTCATGCTTTCTCTTGGCTGGGCAAAGCTCACAGCCTGGGCCAAAGCTAGGCTGCGTGGATTGTTTTCATGCCTGCAAGGAATGCTACAGAGTAGTCTCCTGGGACATGGACACGGGCCAGTTCCAGCTGCTCGGTGTTCATTTCGCCATCTCCTCGCTTTCGTGACGGTTCTCAACTTCTTGAGGTCCCGGAACCTGAAGCTTCCGACCTCCTGCATCGCGGCGCGGTGTGCCCCGACCATTCTTCCTCCCTTATAGACTTAGACTGGCCTGGCCCCATAGCTTCCGGACCTGAGGCATGTGTTTCATGCCACCTTCAGCTGAAAAGGACGCCTCGGAGGCCTAAGCCACGAAGCGATTCACAGCTTCCCGCCATAATTGCCCGCTTGCCGTGAGGAGGCCGTCGTCCTTGTTGGTGACAGCTCCGGCCGGCTTGCTGCATGGCCGTGGCAGCGCCTGCAGCCGCTGAGAGGAAACGGGACGGCAAGTTTGAAGCAGCGAGCTTCGTGCATAGTGGAGCCCTTGGAAGGCCACGACGAGAAACGCTGTGGCGATGGCTTCCGTGTGAGGACTGTCCAACGCCCACGATGATGCGACCTGCTCAGGATAAGGTAGGGCTCGCTTGTTTCACCCGTTGAGCGAAACACCTTGTTTAGCACCTCTCCAAAGCGGGAGCATCATTCTTGTAGGCGTAACATGGACCACTTGAGAAACGGTGCATTCTCAACCGCACTGGTGTGTATGCCTGTGAGTTTGCAGCTCTTGACTCCTGACGGGAGGCATTGATTTCAATTTTGTCCACGCGGCACGGTTGACGAAGAGGCAGGGGCAAGGCTGTATGACTGTATGTCTGCTGCTGAGAAGGGCAAGAAACGCTGCGATGATTCTTACTTCGCTACGTCTGCGAAGTCTGGCCATGAAGTCTTTGCTGCAGCCCTTCGGCTGTCTGATGGGCCAGTCCTACCATAACTCTCGGCATGTATTCGAAAAGGATCCCATGACCGGACTCTGGCTTGCCGGCCAGCGACAGGGTAGACCGAGCACTTCCTGCCTAAAGTCCTAAAGTTACGATGAGCAAGCAGTCGTTACATTACTAACAGGCGGTGGCACATGTTAGATTTCGCGCAGCGCGGCTGAGATGGCATGCTGCCGCTCAAGCCGCAGCCGGAAGGCTGGATGCTGCTGCCCTCACGCTGCCTTTGAGCGCCTTGTTCCCAAAAGAGGCGGCAACGGCGCCTCGCAGCGAGCCCTGCAACATGGGCCGATAGCGAACAGGCACTGCACGGAGCCGTGGCCCTGAGCCAAGCAGTGCTTAAGTAAGCCTGCAGAGCTGCAAAAGAAAACAAAATCAGGCAGTGAGCATCCTGCCAGATGCTTCACCTTGGGAACTAAGGATGTGCCGTGCTGCTGCCTATTTCTTGGACATGCAGCTTTCTTTTGGTTCCTGGTCTCACAGGGCTTCCGACAAGGCCTGCAGAACTGCTTTACTTCACATCCTCTTTCCGGGCAAGCGCCGCTCAACAATTTAGCCTTCTCACAGTCAAGCAGCAGTCGTAGCGCCAGCAGAGTAGCGCAGTAGCTAGGCCAGCTTAGGGGAGATGCTGGACCATGAATTCAAACCTAGAATTGATCATTGGGAAAGTTCGGCGAAACATGGTGTCCCGGTGAAAGAAGGCCGGGGTTCCCTCAAGAAACGGGGAGGTGAAAGAAGGCCAAGCCTCCTTCATGGAGCGGCTTTTGCATTTGGGAGGAAGCGAGAATCAATTCTGCGAGACCGCCCGGCACGAAACAAGCAGACTGGGATTGGTGGGGGGAGGCCAGCAGAAGTCGCGAAGGCCTCGAGAGCTTGTCTTGGGAGGGACCGAGAGTCTGGGACGTGCGAGCTATCGAATGGAAGCAAGCACGAATGTCCCGCATCACAAACACGAACGTTGCAGCATCAAGTCCAGGATACTCTTGGCGGGCATGTCTATACTTTGCATGATGGCGTTTTCTCCGGAGCTCGCATAGTCTACCGTGGCTCGTAAGAAGAATGTTTCGCGCGGCTTGTGACAGGAGGCAATGTTCAGCAGCTCTACTTACCTCGAGACTTCCGGGGCGCGTTCTGCGGCCTTTCAGATGGAGGCTCTCGACTCTTCGAAGTGCCGAAAGAGGGCCCACAGCAGAAAAGCCACAGCTGGCAGGCCCGAGCGTTGGCGCCAGTGTCGCGGCGTTCCCGAAGTTGTCTTTCACGATGAGCCCTTCGGAGCGCCCACCCTTGCATCACATCATTCTTGCCAGTAATGGGGTCCCTCCACCCAAGACTTTTCCAAACGGCACTGTTTGAGGAGACCTTCGACAAGATGGCCCTGGAGGCACCTTGGATGAGCTGTCGTGCTGGGTTCCAGACTCGAAGGGGCGAAGAAACCGCTAACGGTTAGCTGCTGCCGAGATGCTGTGCTCCGCGGGTCGTGACATGCTGGATCCGCCCGAGATCGCGCAGTACTGTGACGGAGGCACATCCGGGGCTGAAGACGAGGGCTGATGAGTTAGGTTCGTTTGGTTGGAGAGGAGTTCAGCGGGACAAGAAGGCTTGTCAGTTCGGCAGATTTCGGCAGTCTGCAAAGCCGCAGAGGCACTGCTTTCCAGTCAAATCCGCATGGACTGTCCGAGGCTCTTCGTTTAGTGTGGCCTCCGATGCCCTGACGGCTTTGCAGAGCAGCCTTGCCGCGCCTTGTCACTTGAGCTCTCGCGCTTTTCTTGCTGATTCTCCTGCGAGTAGCGTGTTCAGCTGAGAGTGGGGCGTGCGTGCGCGTGTGTGTGGGTGTGTGTGTGTGTGTGTGTGTATGTATGGAACGGCTGGAAGTATCGTTGAGGAGCGTTTGTTTGCACTTGCGCTACTTTCTTGAGGAGACACCAATAAGGCCAAGGCCGCCGCAGTGTCGGAAGTAAACACGCTTCCAACACCACAAGATCCCTAGGGCCCCAGGGCCCCAGTGGCCGGTGCAGTTCTATGGCGCCGCCAAGGATCCCTCGAACGCACTGAGCCAGCTCGCTGGCAACGGCATCTTCCCAACACCGACCACAGTCGCCGGGCTGCAGAGTGAAGGCACTTGCACCTTCGCTGATCTGGTGCCTTGAGGTGCTGAGCCAGGCCAGCAGCTACCTCACGCCGGCATCTGGGCCTTGCTAAGTTTCCTGTGCACAAGTCCATGTTTCCGGCTTGCCCGAAAGAACCTGCAGGTATGTACCAGCTCCTGCCAAGCAAGTACGTGCAAGGCTCAGGAACCTGGCTCGGCTTACGGCCTTATCGGGGTCGGTCTCTTGTTGTGGAGGGTTTGGCCGAGGAATCGCACGTTTTCCTACAGCGCCCCACCAGGAGAAACTTGGCCAACAAAGCATTCGGCCTTCCTCTCACGCTTCAGACTTAGAAAATGATCATAAGGCTAAGCAAAGGAGGATCGCGGCGATGTCCCGCAAAAAGGGAAATGCGTCTCTCTAGTGACTTTACGCTCCTAGCCATACGGGACGCCAAAAGCCACTTTTAGGTCACAGAAAGCATGCATATGGTGATAGGAACCATGACCCGCAGCATTATTGTTCTCATTCTCATTTTATATGCTAGTAGTAGCTTGGGTTTGCTGCGCTTGGAACTTCTCTGTCTGAGGCTTCCTGGGCCGATGCCTGGCAGCGCTTTGCCGCGTCCGGAGCCGCTGCGGGGCTCAGGTGGGGAAGATCAACGAATTGTGGAGGTTTTGTTCGTCAAGGGCTCCCAAATACCACAGCAGGTTGCCATAAAGGGTACAGTACAGTGGTTACAGTGTCAGACCAAGTGTTGGCTTCTTGGGGAAAGGGCAGCTGTGCTGGAGCTCGAGGTTGGAATTCCCAGCATGGAGCTCGGAGCAGTGCCCTTACGATGCCCGCTATTGTGCGCCTTGGCGAGGAAGGGGCAGGGGGCCACAGCTGCCGCGAGCTTCCGAAGCTGCGCTTAGGTGCCGTTTCCCGGCGTGAGTGGCTTGGAGTGAAGAGAAGCGGAAGCGCAGCGGAAGAGAAGCGAAGCGGAGGAGCGGAGTGCCGTTTCCCAGGCTTGGAAGAGGGGCTCGACGACATCTGCCTGCCAGCCTTGGACTCCGCCTTGGTTTCCGAGGTTGGCCAAGCGTGCCTCGTCGAAGGGCCCTTGGGCCTTTGCTCTCCTTGAGCTCATAATGGGCTTCAGCAACTCCTGTTCAGCCGAGGCTAACTCAGCAGTTGGATGCGTTGGCTTCCCTCAACGTCACGCAAGGCGTCCTTCAAGACGTCCAGCAGGAGACCGCAGAAACCAAATTAGACATGGGAGCTTCTCTTAGATGACTTCTTCAACCGGTACGCACTAAGCCACGATGGTGCCATATCGCGTCCCTTATTATAAGCATTAGCCTTTGCACCTGGCGAGTCGGCCGGCTCACTGATGGTGACCTGGGATGCCTTTGGCGTGGTCGCCTTCGGTGCCCTCGTTTTCGGCATCCCGGCAGCTCACTAGAGCCAGTCGAGACTTGCCTATAGGGGCCTATGGCTGCATCTCTGCGCTTCTGACGACACGTCATGTTTCGCTTTTTCCATGAGGCGTCCTCTACCTCACTCTTGTCCGCTTCTTCGCGAAGCCAGTTGCTGCTTGCTCAATTCTACGGTTGCGGAAAGGGGTGACTCTGAGACTGAGACATGGTGTATCTTGCCGTGCCCTGAGGTGTGGATCTCGGTCTTCCTGATCTGGGTTGGCTTTATTGCTGCTGGCGTGATGGCCGTCCTCTACTCCGTGAAGTGCCAAGAGGCCCCTGCGGACAGTTCACGCTCCTCCAAAGCCCCAAATAAACATCGGGGGGGCCTTGCTGCCGATGGGCTTTGACCACACATCATGCCACGGGGAAGAAGAGAGAGAGAGAGAGAGAGTTATCGTCTTACACTCCGTTAAAGCCCCATAACAAGTGGGGGGGCCATGTGCCCGGGGGGTTTCGAAGCCCCTCATGCCCTGCAGAAGAAGAGAGAGAGAGAGAGAGAGAGAGAGAGAGAGAAAGAGAGGCGCATGCGCGCGGTGTAGGGGGTTAAACCCCTGCACCATAGCCCTGGCGAAAGAAAAGAGAAAGAGAGAGAGAGAGAGAGACAGCCTTGCACCCAAAGTGGAAAGTGTGGTCGGTAACCGTAGCCCAGAGCACGTAATACCGTGCGTGCCGCCAACAAGGGGCAGCCCTCCGGGCGGGGGCGTGCCCTCAAGCCTTGTGAAAGAAAGAGAGAGAAAGAGAGAGAGAGAGAGAGAGAGTGTTGAGTGGTGGACTGCACCCGCCTCACACCCCAAGCAAAGCAAAGTGTTGAGTTGTGCGGATGGACCGGGAAAAAGTCGCACAAGGTCGCCGCGTCTCGCTCCGCTCGCTGCTCGCTCGTTTCTTGCGGGAGGCCGGGCTTCTGGAGCCCGCGAAGCAGGGAGTCGCCGACGTCGTCAGCGCTCTGAACGTCACTGAAATTGCAGGCGCTCTGCTCGCAACCTCGGTCTCCAGATGAATCACTGACTGTTGCTGCCACATTTTGCGCACGGCCCGTGCCAGAGGCCTCTCCAACTCCTCTTCTTCAAACGGATGCGA